CTTATTGTTTTCTGTCCCTTCTGTCTGTCCGGGGTGACAAGTTTAACTTCTGGAACATCTTGCAAGCATATTGCTGTAATTACCATTTGCAATATACTGGTGCTAGCTCTTGAAAACAAGTCTGATTGAGACCTACTTTGTAGATTGGCGGAGCGAGCGAAGCAGAAGTTAGTGAAAAGAAGGACAGAGTAACTGATGCTCTAAATGCCACCAAGGCTGCTGTGGAGGAAGGAATCGTACCTGGTAAGTCGTTTTTCCAGAAACATATTTTGTTTGTCTTGTTTGAATTGGGTTATATCTTATAAGTAAGAGCTTCCAATGTACAGGTGGTGGTGCTGCACTGCTTTATGCCTCAAAGGAGCTGGACAAGTTGGCAACTGCAAACTTTGACCAGAAGATTGGTGTTCAAATTATTCAGAATGCTCTTAAGGTTTCAATAAAAATCTGTTCTCCTTTATAGTTTCTTCTCATGCTCTTGGGTTCTTTCTGTACTGCAAATAATACAATTTCTTAACTTAGAGGCACAGCTTTATAATTTATTCATCTACATTTTATCTATCTTACCATTTGGTTCCATTCTTGTAGATGCCTGTATCCACAATTGCTTCTAATGCTGGAGTTGAGGGGGCAGTTGTTGTTGGCAAACTATTGGAGCAGGACAATCCTGACCTTGGATACGATGCAGCAAAAGGTTGGTCATCTTTCTAACCATTGAACAATCACAAAAAAGGGTGGCTTCAGTTCAGGTGTAGTTCTAGCATTGAAAAAAGTTAGATGAAAACTTATCCTTCATCTGCTCCTTTCAGGTGAATATGTAGACATGATAAAGGCAGGGATCATTGATCCATTGAAAGTCATCAGAACCGCCTTGGTCGATGCCGCAAGGTAATTCAGAGTTTTTTATAAGACCCTTCTTTTTAAAGTTAATTTCCCTTTCTTTAAGAACTTGCTGCATTTCTTCAAGCAAGCATCTGAAACTTGTCACTTTGCAGCGTGTCCTCGTTAATGACCACGACGGAGGCAGTTGTCGTTGAGCTTCCCAAGGATGAGAAGGAAACCCCTGGAATGGGAGGTGGCATGGGAGGCATGGATTACTAGAAGTTCTATCAACATGTTGGATTCAGTAGAGGCTGCTTCCTTGCTCAGGCTCACACCTTCCTCGTTTATCCTTATTCAAACTGAGTTCTCCAATTTCTCGCTTTTATGCTCTCTTTTTTTCTTCAATGGTATTGGAGGCTGAACATGAATGTAATCATAGTGAGAGAGGTTAATTGTGCAGGAACATTTTTCACCAGTTGTAGTCTCTGGTGGTATTTATGATTTTGTTGTTCTCACCTTCTACTTTCTTAGTCTGCATTGCGAGGAAAAAAAAACTAATCTTGATAATAAAATATATAAAATACTGGGTTAACCCGTGATTTATAAGATTCTGTGCAAAACCTGAAAATAATGGTATAGTTAATATTAATAAGATTATTACTGTGTAAATTCTTCCATAAGGCATACATTAAATAAACTGAAAACATATAGAATAAAGTGATTGAGGGAGAGGTTTTCTCACATACGTACTATCATGCTGCTGTGGGTTCGAATCTCAGACTACTAAAGTTATGATGCTTTTTTATTGGACTATACCCAGGAGCCACTTAGAATTTGAGAATAAGCAAAGATTGTTATGTGGTTATGGAGCCACTTGGTGACCACTTCTTGTTAAAAGGCAAAGAGCAAAGAAGTTGGTGAGGAAGGAAGATACGTGGGTCACCCGAGGTGGTACTCAAATGTCGGTGAACTGGCCAACATGGCATGCTCACTCATTGCCACGTCTGCACGCCTTACGAAGAAGATTCCTCTACTATCTCCATATATATATATATATATATATATATATATTTTTGGTCAATATGTCCATATATATATATATATTATATGCTTCTATTTCACTCCTGTATTCGACCCTAACAATATATATTTAGGGTCCGTCTTGAGGAGAGCCGAATGAAAGGAAACACTTCGGGTCCTTTCTTTGTTGACCTAAAAAATCCCACTTATTAGAACCAATAATTTGGACTAAATCCGTCACATAAATATTAGACGACTAACTAGGTAAAGGAAATCTCAAGTTCGATTTTCATGATTTTTGAAAATGGTATATATTTGTAATGAGTTACAATAAAAACGGCATTCAACTGTTATAATAATAAAAAAAATATAAATAATTGTCTAAACTAAATAGAAGAATTTCTCACACAAACTACTAATGTGCTGTGGGAGTTCTAAACTCAGCCCTCTACTTTACAAATCGAGATTATTTTTCAAGATTAGACCCCATAGACAAAAAGAACACAAGAAGAAAAATCTGATAATTCGAAATAAATAAATAAAATATTTATAGAAATGCATGATAATAATTAATCTGATTGACTTATAAATTTCTGAGCCAGTGCTGAAAGGAATTTATATAGGGTAATACTAATAGTTAAGCAGTGACATCTTTGTGTTAGAATGGCGCCAAAGACGACTTGTCGTGTAGCCCTCCTCCTCCGGGAGGGTCGCAGAGCCCAAGCGAGAGGCATTGGTTAAGAGGGCGTGAGGAGGACATTGACCAAAGACGACCATAGTTAATTCTAGCTAGTTGTTATTATGTGAAAAGAATCCATATGATACGCTGCCAGCAGCACATGGGATGCTATGGTAGGCCTCTATTTTAATATATATTTTATATAATTATAGCTGACTAATTCGAAAAATGCCGCAGGTTTTTGGACTCTTTTAGTAAGGTCTGATCTAATGCATGTCCGGAATTTTTCAAGTATATGCTTTATTTGCATTGCCAATGGAACAAGACGTAAGGATGTAATTTCGTCATATACTTTTCCAATTCATGTGTGCAGTACTACTACTAGTGATCACAATTAGGGTGCGTATGGTCTGATTTAGTTCGGTTTAGGTTTTAAATTGAACACCGACAAGGGTGGAGCCATCTAAAATTTATAGCCCCCTTTTTAAAAATTCATGGCTCCAATCATACCGAATCAATAAATCATCACGGATTTAATTTGATTCATGAGAGAGAGAGAGAATGCATATGTGAAAACAGTAGAATGATGTTCCTATTCCATGTCCATTAATTTATACCCAACAGCTTCATTCCACCACAAGTTGGTCTTATTTTAAACAAGTTCGACAACCAAATCCCTAAATTAGGTTACTGATAGCACAACTCCAATCGTTTTCTTCGGGCCCACGCCATGAACATAAATCCACATATATTATTCTTTTTAATCAATACAAATTAACGAGTACCACTGTACCATGCATGCATGCAGGCATGTAACATGGTTACATGGCATGATATAGGCAATGGAAATTAAAGTCCACGTGTCAAATATTTAAGAACGTGTCAAATTTTTAAGTATGGCTTTTGTTGGTCTAAGATTCTGTGAGAGAGGAAACTGGTAATGAATTAAAGCTTAAACTTGGAGACGGTTTATCGTTAATTGTCATTTTCCAAATAAAGCAATCCCACTCACGCCTAATCATGCTATATAATATTTCTATATGATATTTTGTGATGGGGAAAACTTGCAATCTTTTATTTATTTATAATTAGAATTAGGATGGTGATGCGTGCAGACTGCGACAAATATAATCTGGAATTAATAGTGAGATGATAGAAGATTAAATTATAGAGGAAGAAAGTACACATGAATGGTTCTAATTGGGGAGCATGAAGTAGTAGGGAATAAATACCTACAATTACTCGCATTAGAGTATGAATTTATTACAGACGTGATATTATGTTCGCATTTAACGTAAATTTATATAATCGGTGCATGCACTTAAGCAATGAAATATATTTTTGCACGCTAAAATTCGGTCAAGATTTCACCAAGAAAACTAACTTAGCATCATAATGAGTTGATTGGGATGTTTGACTAAGCAATTAGGTAATGATCCGTCAACAATATAAGACAAAGCAAACATACAAAGCAAACATACATAACCCACATTTCAGGTAAAATAAACAAAAAAAGTCAAGGGTGAATGAATTTCAGTTGGAAAAAATAATCATTATTGATTCAATTTTGCATCTCGAAACCCTGTCCAAACAAAGAAAGAAGCACGACTTAGATTCTCCATCATAATCTAAGCATGGTCCTAATCAAAAATTAGTACGCAGATGAAATAATTAAAACCGTACGCCATCCATTTCGTTCATTTATTAATTTCCATGAGTCAAAAAAACAAGAGAGAGAGAGAGAGAGAGAGAGAAGAACGGAAAAGGACAGAGCGCAAGTGGGATGGGGTGTGCCAGAAGATGCAGTCTTTTTCTAATGATCCAAGAATTGAAGTGGCAGTTAACAACGGACGGTTGTAATTAGTCATTTTCAGCTTAACAAAAAGCTAAAACCTTTGAGAAGTCGAGGTTATACCAGCTGATAAGGAAAGTAAGGTTGTCTTCTTGCACGCAAGTTCGAGTTTTTTTAATAGACTGTATCGCTTATGTATAAATGAAAACCATAATAAATCAACTTTGTGATAAATGTAAATTAGATCAGTTGTTTAAGATAATACGTCCGTCTCATTGGATTGGATCCCTTTTGTTTCTACAAACCAAAAAACAAAAACTCGAGTTTGCGTTCGCGTTTAATTGCTTCCTTTATATTATAAAACAGTAACATATAACATAACATGAGAGAGAGAGAGTTATGGCGAAAATGAAAAAAGAAATGGGGCTCATCGCTTGGGAAAACACAGAGTCTTGCATAGCGTCAAAATTTCATTTCGTCTCTTTCCTTGCTATTATTATTATTATTATTCGGAGAGAGAGAGAGAGAGAGAGGACCTTATCTTTGTGGAAGTAGCTAGCTAGTTGTGTTAGTGTTAGGCTGCTTAGCCCCGCGACACACCGCGACAGAGACCCCCCCAACACCAAATCTTCTCTTAGATTTTGCTCCATTAATTTCCCAATCACGACCCACATCTGCGGTTTCCACACTTGGAAATTCCCAGCCACCCAATTATTCCGTCGAAGTACTTCCTCAATCTCTGCGTCTCTGGTCGGTCCAGATATGGGGAAGAAGAAGTACTTGCTCTTCCTTTGTATAATTTGAATCCGTAAGCAGCTTCATCTTCATCCCCTTTTTATAGTAATTTTTGTTTTTCTTCTTAAATTTGGTTCCAAGTTTAATTTTTGACTGGGTTCAGGACTAATTTAGTGATTCAATAAAAGAAAAGATGAATCGGTGCGTCCCCGATTTTGAAATGGAGGATGATTATTCAATTCCCACTTCCTCTGCCCCGAACCGCCTCAGAAAATCATCCCTGTAAAAATTTATCTTTTTTTTTCAATTTTTTTTCAAATTTATTAAACGCAATTTATTTATGACATACATGACATGTTGCAGGCCAGATGATGAGATCATGGAGCTGCTATGGCAAAACGGTCAAGTTGTGATGCAGAGCCAGAACCAAAGGCCTTTGCCTAACAACAAAAAGTCGTCACAGGCCCCATCCAAATACGACGCCGTCTTGCCCGAAGACAGAGACATCCCCAGACCCCAACCCCATCCCACAGCTCAAAACCACCAGCTGTTTATGCACGAAGAAGAAATGGCCTCTTGGCTTCAGTACCCTCTCGTCGACGACCCCTTTTGTGCCGACCTCCTCTACCCCGATTCCTCCACCGTTCATCAAGCCAACACCAACACCCCCGCCGCCGCCGAACTCCGGCCTAATCCTATTTCTGCGCCGCCGTCCAAGCCGCCGATTCATCCACCGAGGAGGACCGAGCTCCAGAACTTTCTCCACTTCTCCAGGACCAACAACAACAAGGATAGGGTTTCGGAAGCGGCGCCGTCCAGCTCCAAGAGCGTGGTGAGGGAGTCGACGACGGTGGTGGACTCCTGCGATACTCCGCTGGTGGGACACAGCTCTAGGGCTTTGGATTCCGGGCTCGGCGGCGGCGGCGGAGTGACTGCCGGTGCTGCGACGTCGTTTGTTACTGTCGCTACTGCTAATGCTGCGACGTCGTTTCCTGGGAAAGAGATTATGACGTGTGAGATGTCGCTGACTTCGTCGCCCGGCGGCTCCAGTGCGAGTGCCAGCGCGAGCGCCGAGCCGATATCGTCTCAGGAG